AAGTTTTCTCTTGGATAAAGTGTCTGGACACCCCCCAAAGTATACATTTTTGGAAAGGTGATGCCCAGGCCTAGGGCACCTGGGTGTTTTCAAGAGCAACACTTTAACTGGAACAATCTTTGCCCTTTCTCAAATGTTGCAACACGGTCGCGTATTATATATGTTGTTTTATAAGGTGTATTGTGCGTCCTTTGTTCCTTTGGATGGACTTCTGCTGACCCAGGTGCCCTTCCCCAGACCTAGATGGTTTGGATCCAACAAATTTGGACCCATCAAATAGTCTTTTCCTGGACATTTTTTTAAGAAAATGTGTAGCCCGTCATATCGACAGAAAGTGTACATTCTGATTTACATTTTTCAAGGATCTCGCAAAGCATGACAATATATTTTCTGCTGTTGCAATCACTACCCTTTCATCTGTGTGTGGAGAAAAATTGGAGTGATTTGCTTGTGTGGGACCAAAGTAATGCCTCTTCTTGTGCGGTCGGCCCAGATACAGCCGCGAAAAGAGTACTAGTACCTTAATATCGGTTCACAGAATAGCAGGTCTGCCGAATAGCAGCTTCACCGAAAAAAGGTCGCTGATGACATCGATATAATTATCGCATTCGAATCCTCTAAAGAATACATGCAGTCCCACCACATACCGGTAACAGTTTCACGAAAACATGCCACTAATTCCAGCGACTCTGATATACATCGCATTTGAGTCATTTTACTTGTGAAACTACCGTACTGGCAATATATGTTGCCGCGTAAAGCGTAACGCAGGGGGGTGCGGCGTAACGCGCGACCAGGCTAGTGCGACAAATTTTCGTTGAGTTCGTAACGCGCGTCCGGCGGGGTGCGGCGATCTTTTCATTGCAGTTTGCACTGCAAAAAAAGGCTGAAAACTGTGAAAGCACGTGTACCGCGTGGTGAAAAGTAGTTTTTGGAGGAAGCGCTCTTCCCCTAGCTATGTCACTTTCCTTTTGATGATCTTTTTGTGAACAGATCACTCTGATAGTTAAAATATAGTCTTCTATTGATATCGTTGTCGCCCTTTGCCGTCGGGTTTGTAACAGTTGGATAGCAACTGAATTTCTGTGCCTTCAATGTGGATGAAAAGAAAAAATGATGCGCCAAAAGCAAAAAAATGATGCGGCAATAGCAAAAAAGTGATGCGGCAATAGCAAAAAAAGGACTGCGGCAATATAGAAACCTGTGTAACGGCTCCTGTGCGACTTTGCATGTAACGCCCTGCGTGCGGCAAACATGTGCCAATGTAACGCTTCATGGCCTCACTGCGGCAACATATATTGCCAGTACGGTAATTCAACAATAGCTAGCTCTGGTACCATGTCAGTTGTTGCAATCGTAAATGTGTACGTTTCCGCACACTCACAATGTAGGCACCAAAAGGCATACTCGCTGCCTGGAATAGGGATTTGTATGTATATAATACCGGCACATAATTGAAATCACATCACAGCGGAGTTTTGCTACTTTCATATTGAAATATGGAGAATTGCACTGTACCACCAGACTACGTCTCAACGACCAAGCGCGGAGGTCTTCGCTGGATAGTAGAAGGATATGCGCACGTCGTTGACAAGAGAGGACGAGATGAAGTAATCTTCTGGAGGTGTGACAGAAAAGACGAGCTTCAATGCAAAGGAAAATTGATATCGGAGGATGATTCAATTGTGAAGGTGACCGGATTGCATTGCCATGCTCCAGATGCAACCAAGAACAGGCGAAAGTCTAGGATACAATTGAGCACCGTAGCCGAAGCACGAGGGAGGCAACCCTGCAAATCGTTCAAGAGGTTACCCGAAGTAAACTGCCACCATCCGACATTGTGGAAGCTGATCGAGAACTTCAGGAACGAGCAACGAAGCACTGAAAAAATCTGGAAAGAATGCGTGCTGGGCAAGATGGGCCAACAAGGAAGGAGCGGTACATGCAGGAAGGCTGATCAGCGCCTGCGCACTGTAGTGACCACATTTGAGCAACGCCCGCCACTGGAGTTTTTGAGTGGTATTGCCCATGATCTGGCTTTCTTTGTGGAGCCGTGATGTGATTATTTCCATCAAATGGGACCACAACTTCACACGTCTTCTTCAGTTCTCCAGTGTTGTTTTGCATTTTAATTCATCATCATGATATCAGCTCTGACGATGGGTGACCATGTGACCTGGTGACCGGGTGACTGGCCCGAAACGTCATTATTTTTCGACATCACAACAATGTTAATAATGTTCCATACAGCGCATGCGCAGCGATTGTGAATAGCAACTCTGTTGTCCTTTTCTTTATGATGCAGTTGCGTTACATGATGATGTCCACCACGTCAAACTATTATTAAAATTTTAAATTATTTTATGATATCCACGGGCATGACGATTGAAGTGTTGTGGACTAGCAGTGTCGGGTAGTGCAAGTTAGGGGTAAGCTGATTATGCCGGCATAATGTTTGGCATAATCAGGTCCTTTTTGAGAAGGAGCATACTAATGGAAACTGAAAAACAAGGACAGATGCCCAATGAGGCTGTTATACACACCTCGTATTGAAGGCATGATTTTTGGCATAATCAGGTCCTTTTTGAGGAGCATAAAATGGCATACGAAAAACAAGGGCAGATGCCCAATGAGGCTGGTATACCGGCATGTATACACACCTGCTATTGAAGGACCATACATGTACATACAGTGTAGCGCTTGTTGTCGATTTGGAATTATCTTTTAGCAACCACTATAGGACATCTCCCAAAAAGTTCAGCGTTTGCTTGTGGATTTGGTATTCCTCTTGCATATTATTGTCTTGTACTTCCACAAAGCTCCCAGTCCACATCATGACAATTGTCTGAGTCCTTTTTTTCCTTTTTGTACATGTACATGTACTTGGTGGTACATGATTCGGCTCACGAACGTTCGAACCCAGCAGGTACATGTACAGTCATAATTATTATAATCCAATACTAGTTCAAAATTACATGTAGATAAACCTTGTTATACATGTACATGTACATTGTAGTTCACGCATATTGTTAGATAATTCAAAATTCCAAGCCCAGCGATTGGCTGAAACACGGTTTTCACTGATCACGCCAGCACCTCGTGGAACAAAATGGCATGGATGTTGAATGTACATGTACGCAACTGTGAGCCGGAGCCCCAGGGCCTAGGGAGTCGTAAAAGCCCTTTTACGACTCCCTGGTGAGCCCTGGCTAAGTTAGTTGACAGCATGAAACAAGGTGGAGAACACTGTGTTCGGAAACAGTGACCTTGCTACAAGTACAACCTTCCGCGGTTGGAAGAGCCCAGGTCCCTGCGGACCATTTGAACCATATGGGTGTTGAACCCGGTTCTGACCCTCATTATGCTAGGGAGGTTGGAGACTACTCCTTACGTCCGTCGTGTATTCTTTGATCGTGTCCTCCACCTTATTTCATGCTGTCAATCTAACAATATGTACATCTCATGTACTTTATACATGACGTCATGTAGGTACAGGACTAGGAGGTACAGTCAGTTCATTCAGTAGATAATTATAGTGTGCAGTCTACAATGACGTCGTATTGTAGGTACTTATTGCAGCCTACATAATTGTATGTACATGTACATTACTCATTAGGTACATTAGGTACATGCACTAGTATAGTTTTTTGCGTGTTTTTTCTTTCTTTTTTTTTTCTTTCTAGAACTTTGAGTTGAAGTTTTTGGAACACTTGGGAAAAAATATTCATTGTGTTTATTTTGCCCGTAAAAGAGGCTGACTACTAGTATAGTGCACATCATGGGGGACATGTCCGAACTAGTATAGTGCACATCATGGGGGACATGTCCGAACTGGTACGAGTACCGGTACTAGTAATTCAAGTAATTTTATGACTAGGACTTGGTTGGGAATGATGAAAGCGGGCTTTCACCATGTTCACTGCAACTGAAGTGACACTGTACTACTTCTTCACTTCAGTACGTAACCACTGGTAACGTTAACACCTGGCTCCGTCAGTACCAGCACCGTGTAAGATACATTGTACAATCTACGTGCACTGGGTGAAATACGGAGGTCTAGTCTACGCAAACACCAAACTCCAAACTAAGCTAAGCTTATACTAGTTATACTACTACTTCGAAGTAGTAGTTATTTTATAGCTTTAGTCAAGCTGGCCGAATAAATTATGTTGCAGACGTGGATCTACTGACTGGGTCTGAGGAGATAGCCATTTTCCATATCTCACTTTGCACTTGCAGATAGTGATATGAAGTGCACGTGGCGGTGCACCATGGCTCACAGGCAGTAGTGTGTCGTCCGTCTTTACTAACGTCTTGTTGTTACCTGCTGTTATCCACACATTCCTGTAGCGTAGGTAGAGTATACTAGTAGTAGTGCTGTGTGGTGCCACTTACTGGTCTTAGACTGCCAGGCGAGGGAGTCACGACCCACGACTCTCGATCTCCCTGGTTAGGACTTAGGTTGGTACCACTACCAGTCAAAGCCAAGGCAAGTACATGGTCATGGGCACAACACTGACGTGCATCATGCGCGTAGATATCTACCTGATCTACACGTAGCTTCCTACAACACAAAGACTTACACTAAGTAGTTAGACAATCACTGAATCAGCTTACTGCACTGACTGCATGCATGCATTGCAGTAGTGACCGTCCGTCTGTCGGCGAAGCACTGGCTGTAGAGTTTCTTACGACTTACGTAACTCGTTTGTAGCGAAGGTACATCTGACTATTATATAGCCAGGTGTAGGCTAGGTGTAGGTGGATCTTTGTCAGTTTGTGTGAAAGTCAGCCTGTCCACGTCACTGAAACAGTCAGTACGCAGATCTACATGTATGGTAAAAATTATTAGTAATAATCTATGCAGCTGGTCAGCGCTATCAAGTATCATAGTTCATACTGCTACTGGCAGTACTGCACTGTACAGTCAGGTTGCGCATACTGCGGCATAGGTTGCACGCGACAAGCGGTACGGTTATGCGCTGCGCATGCAGTCGAAGGCTTCGCTTCTTTACCTCCGCGTGTCCATCCTAGATTCTAGCGCTAGCGTCCAGAGGACTAAAATGGCGTAGAAAATGGTCAAGTTGAAGACGACATCGGTTTAGTTGTGCGAGAACGTTGTGCTGACCGCCATGAGCAGCTATGGCAGACACGGATACTCCTAGCACGCAGCCGCCTGAGGAAGAAGAGCCTCCTCAGGCAGTAGCATCGTCTCGTGTGGCAGCAGCGAACGAGGAGAAGCCAGCCGCCAAAGAAGGCAACGGCACATCGACAAGAGAGAGACTTTTTACGAAGTCGGGTGAGGAAGATGCTCTGGCAGTGGCCTCGAGCCCTGACGGTCGCTTCCTCAAGTTCCCAGTGGAAGTCGGCAGAGGTTCGTTCAAGACCGTCTTCAAAGGACTTGACTCTGAGACGGGAGTTGATGTAGCATGGTGTGAATTGCAGGTCAGTACAATTGGGTTTAGCAGTTATTTTCGATTTGGGGCTTGCCTTCTGGCGCTTGTTTGCAACATCAATTTGGTCGTAATCACTATTTCCTTTGGTTAGCCTATACATATTGTGTTGTAGTTAACGTTCAACTCAGCATTTTTTGTACATTGTGTTTGAGATGCATCGTCTTCGAGTCATTCTTCTGAAAAATTGGCCATTGTCTAACGAAATTTTGTTGCGAATGGAAAATCATGGCTTCGGCGCAGTGCATGCATGCATGCACCCTGTGCCGATTATGTATATCTTGCATTGGCCGTGAAGACGATTCTTGGCGATTGGAGTTCTTTCCTCAGCTGGAAGGTGCTCTGGCGAAACGTAGCGGAACCGTCCCGCCGTCAAACGGAAATCGTACACTGATTTCGCCCATTTTTTTCACGATTGCTCTACGAAGGCGCGCGGACACCTCTCCGGGGCCTGGGTGATTGACGTCTTGTTCTTGTTGCCCGCAACTACATAGCTCTTGGAGCGACCCTGACGAATTTTGTTGAATGTTGTCCGCAGTTGGAAGACGCACATTTTCTGCTGTTCGTCTAGCGTCCGATATGCTCGCCATTCTGAGCTTGTCCCATAAGTCAATAATTGTCACAGGGTGTTACGTATCGGCAGCTTGGTTCTTGCTGGATGGGCTCGAACGACGCGTTCCTCGTGTGTTCAGGCTGTTGGCAGGATTTTTACTCGCACACAGTGTGACGATTGTCCCTGCTGACGCGGGCCAGAGCGATCAAAGAGTGGCCACATTTGTCCCTTTCCCCTTTGACAGCGGGCAGGGTTTAGACTTCAGTTCAGAGCATGGTTTTCGATAGAGCCAGACAGCCATGCTGCTCTTGTGACCGACATAAGACCAACCGCGTGCTGTCGAGTGTGCTGCTGGGAAGCACCTTGCTGTCATTCAGCTGATGGCTGTAATCGAACATGACTTGTTCCCCACTAGACTAGAGGTCAATGGATTTCACTAGGAGAAGTAACCAAGATGTGCAGGGGGAAGCATGCTCTCTTTGAGCCAGAACACTAGAGGGCAGTGAATTGTGCACTGATGTGTGTGGGTACGTCGTTTGAATTGCTGACATAATCATTCACACGAAAAGGACCGTTCTGCTCATCACTGGCTATGGATAATAAATCCCTAGTGGTGTTATGAAACCTAGTAGTGGTGTTATGAAACCTAGTGGTGTTATGAAATTGGAAGAAGCACCACACAACCAGTGACACAGAACTGGTTATGTATGATCTGCCCAAAGCCAGTCACTTGTGTTTCCATGGATACCATGGATGGTGGCAGAGAGGCAGCATGATGAAGCCAACTGTAGGCTTCGTGAGTTGTGGTTTGCTGCCATGTAAGCGGAGAGGAAGTTTGGTGTCACTGAGTCTGGTGTCACTGAGTTGGGTGTGAATAGCAGTCTTGCTTCCATCTGTTCACCTCAATGTCAGTGAAGCTGATAGAGTTGGGCAGTGAGCTGAGCTTGGGTTGTTTGTTGACAGCAGTTGTGATGCCCTTGTGATATCTTGATTTGTCAGTGTATTGTTTATTTCGGAAAAGGAACTGCTGGCTGTAAAGTGTTGTCATGATTGCAGTTCTGAGTAGGAGGAAATACATAATGATGTATTCGTTACAGTGATTTGCAAAATAACAGTTTTTGATCACGCACACAGTTCTCCTTTGCACCTCACTAAGGTAAACAACATACTATCTAGCAGTGCAATGGGTATGTGCAACTAATACTTGGAGCTAGCCCATGCACTGTCTGATCTCGATATGCAAAACCATGTACGCCTGGGGTATTGATCATTCATTTGACATCGCCAAGGTAGTATTCTACCTGTACATACAGATCAGAGCACGGTCATAGTCATTTTAGTATACAAAGTCATGTGGAGGCTTGCTAGTGACATGTGCACAACAAGAGTTTGATTACTCAGCCAGTGAAACTACTACAGTATTCCATTGGCATCATACTAATATTATTACTAAGCAACACCCTGTGCTTGGTCTCAATGATGTGGTCGTGTGGGATGTGGGCAAGAAAGTGTGTGTTTGTTTTTGTGCTACTACGTGTACTCAAACTCAAAGCTTTATTCGGGAAAACCACAGTCACACCACACTGGCTACCTAGGTGACATTATTTCTGGAAAACACTGACATGGTCACATTCGTGTATTGCTTGCGAGAAACCTGTTCAGACATTTCTCAAGTTATCTGGTGACATCTGCGCTGTGCTAACTTATTACCAACACCCAGCATATGAGTCAGTGAAAACTTGTGATCTTTCACTTGTTTTAGACATGTCATATTTCTAGCACTGAGGTAACATGTGCAGTCATAGAAATATTATCAACACCTAAGAACACCAAATTAGTGTATATAGCTGCTCCTTGGCAGACTTCCACTTCATATTGCATCCTGATGATGGCAATTTGCCAAAACGTTGAAAATGAAATGAGTTGTGAATTTGCAGTGCCCAGGGAGTGAGCATGTGTGCTCACCAATTCTCTTCGAAACCACAAATCGTGATGTAAAATGTCAAAATCAAGTGGAATAAAATAGTTACCAAAATCCAGTATCAAAACCGATAAAAAAATTGTACCGTGCCAATCAGCTAATATTAAAAGTCACTTGCCAACCCACAACAGGATGCAGGCTGTAAGGCGGCACTGGTCTAAGATGGTGGAGCATGACGAAACCACGTATCACATCACTTCAGCAGCAAGAAAGATATTGAGGCTCTGAGATGGGACATAACAATCGAATATTGCAGATCTGGATGCTTGTTCACAATAATCCTGACTATGGTTCTCAGGGAACGCGAGCATTCCTGCCTGCACATGTCATTGGTGGAAAAAACCAAAGGTGTGAAAGCTCCCTGCTCAACGTTAACAACTCACTCAAGATAAGCACGCTTTTCTTCTTTTCATTCCTGGACAACTGGGCAAGAACGTCCGCTCTCGACAGCAAGGATGCCGAGGGATGAGTGACCCTCACGTCAAAAAATGTGTCTTGCTGCCGAGACCGGAAGCCCCTTGCACAGATGTCCAAACAAGCATATTAACGGCGACTGGCAGTGGCACCAGGCAAAGTTTCACCGTCCAACGATAGCAAAGTGGGCTCCATCTGCACGTCTGGAATGACAGCACCCATACTATGGGCCATAGCATCCGCAATCAGGTCTGGGAGAGCATTATGGCGGAGGGTAGGATACCCACCTGTGGGGCATGTCGCCGCATGATTAATGCTGAACACAGCACCACCCACACACACACACTTGCTTGGTAGATTACGTAAGGGCCAGCCGCCATAGCAGATCGCCAAAGCATCACAGGACTCAACCTTGTTCAATACGAAACTATTGCTTGCTGAAGGCTCAGCTGTCAGCCAGCTTGATACGCCAGGCTTACTGGCAACATCCAGGAGCATCATTTGTGAACAGCTCACATAGGTACTTAGATTGTGGATTTTGGCCGCAAACTGGGCTTTCCGGGAGTACGGCGCCCGGGCGTGCCACTCTCGACATCGTTTGAATGTCCATATACGTGACGTAGTCATTCATAGCGCCTAACATGCGGACAATAGGTTCAGTACTGACACGCGATGCAGACCTCTGCATGAAAGGCTTTGAAAGCATCTTCGGTAATAACTGGTACATGGTACTGTACTGCCAAACCACCCAGTTTCACTGGCAAGCCCCAGCAACTGTCGTTCATGCTGAGACAATGGCGGACGAGCCATCTACGCCGGAATCAGTCGTTGGTCAATGGCAGAATCAAGAGTCTATACAAATGGGAAAGAGTTTGCTCCCCATACTGGAGCATGTTTTGCCGACTTGACTTGACTATAGTCTAGATGACTATATCAGTGCCCCTGCCAATGTTCTGCACTGGCGTGCAGTAGGGCTTTACATGGAATGGTGTAACAAGTCGGACGTACATATGAATGCTACGACCGTGGCATTTCCGATCCACATGTGTGTGTGTGGGGGGGGGGGGGGGCACATTGTATTAGCAAGTTCTTCTAGATGTCGTCTGAAGGCTCTGACACGGAAGGAATTTATGAAGGCATTTTTATATATCTCTACTTTCTGTTGTTCTCTCGTAGCCAAAACGATACAGCAAAGCTGGAATTGCTCGGTTCAAGGATGAGGCGCAGATGTTGAAGATGCTTCAGCATGCCAACATACTCAAGTTCCATGATTTCTTCGAGCTGACGGACAAAAAGCAGAGGGTCGTTGTGCTGGTCACGGAATTGATGACATCAGGGACACTGAAGACGTAAGAACATTGGCCGTCTAACCTTAGTCTTGTGCTAGAGCTAAAACTGTAGAATAATGTGTGAAGGTTGCATTCCCTTATTAGGCTTATACAATCTTTAGAACGAGGTCAATCTCGTCCTCTAGGAGACGATGTTTGACTTGACTGCTGACATAGTCCACTTTGAGATACGTTGCGGTCATCAAAGCCCAAACTGAGTATCTGCCGTCACCTCTGCCTACTTCAAAAAGTAGTGCTTGTACTGGAAGTAGTAGCAACCTTTACCTGTTCAGCCAGGCCAGTAATAGTGCCAGTTTACCTGCTTACATCCCGCATATAGGTATAGAAGATTCAGCTTGCAACCTATACCATAGGAAAGATTACTACTATCAGTATGACCTGCATTTTAATACCGTAGTGTCTTGTATTAAAGCCTGTCTCATATGGAAGCCTGTCTTGAATAGAAGCCTGACTTTCAAGATACGCTGTCGGCACATAAGCCTGGTTTTAGTGTTGACATACATAGAAATACCTGTCTTGTATAGAAGCCTGTCTCAAATAGAAGCCTGCAAAAATTCCCCCAAAAAGTCATATAAGCCGCGGCCTTTATACACGACTTTACGGTAGTTTTAACGGGTTGTCCCATTCTAGCCAGGCCAGTGCTGGCTCGTAAGATCCATCATGCAAGTAGACATTCTTGGGAAATTCTTGCGTGAAAAAAAAAACAGTTCCGAACCAAGAAACTCCCATGGCTGAGAATAGCTTTCAACATGATCCAGCAGTAACAGCCTATGGGTGGGTATAATGCTTCCGTGATCATTGGAATAACCATTCGCTCCATGTGTCTCTCTCATCCCACCACGTACCAGTTCTATGCTGTGTATATTATGTGTGCAGGTATTTGAAGCGGTTCAAGGGTGAAGGCGTGAAGCCGAAAGTGATGAAGCATTGGTGTGTGCAGATCCTGAAAGGTTTAAAGTTCCTCCACAGCCACACACCGCCGATCATTCATCGCGACTTGAAATGTGACAACATCTTCATCACTGGGACGACGGGACTTGTCAAGATAGGAGATCTAGGCATGGCTATTCTACGTCACAAGTCGCACGCGGAGAGTGTTATTGGTGAGTAAATCGTTCGTCTTTTCGGCGAAGCCTGATACTAGGAAGGCTCCATTCTGACTTATACCTCTCCATGTCTGTTGGGCCAATGGTGCTCGATGCTTTTTTTTTCCACGGTCGGGGATTTCCCTTTAGATATGAAAAATAGTTTACAGTCCATAGTGCAATTTTTCTAACGAAACTGTTCCACTTGGTCTCTCCATATACTAAATGTATCCTTCTTAAGGCTGGCAGCTTGACTTGCATGTGCAATTGATATAAACATGATCATCCACATCCACCAGTGCCAGCAATTAACCCGACTTGTGCTCTTCTGCGAACGTGTGCTGAAAGGTCCGATTCTGGGAGCATTTCAACTGCAAGCCTGTGCTGAAAACATGTGCTGCTGTGTGTTCCCTGTGTTCCACAACGCGTTGCTACTTTTCAGGCACCCCAGAGTTCATGGCACCTGAGATGTATGAAGAGCACTATGATGAGTCGGTCGACGTCTACGCCTTTGGCATGTGTCTGGTCGAGATGGCAACGCTGGAATACCCTTATAAGGAATGCTCCAATGCTGCTCAGATTTACCGCAAGGTGACATCGGTAAGCTCATACAGTTAATTTGCTATGATTGGAATGTGAAATACAATTATCCTGATTGCGATACATGCCTCTTACCTCTAATCCTTCGCCTCCTCCTCCTCATCATCATCATCATCTCTCTCCTTCTCTTTTCCCTCTCCATCATAGCAGACCTCGCTCACAAGGTTCGTTCAACATGGGATATTCTGACCCTGGTCATCTTATCGGCTAGTGTGGACATTGCAGCGTGTTAGTAGAATTGCTGAGCTTTTAGCTCTCAATAGAGTACTCTAATTTCAGAAATTTTCGGTGCTCAATATTTTCGGTATGAGGGCTACATGCTAGGTTAGGTGAACAGAAATTTTCGGTACAGAGAAACAGTTCCCTATTGTATTATGTGTGTTAGTGTTTGTTCGGTGTATTGAAATTTTAGGTATGAAACAGACGCACCGAAAGTACCGAAAATAAAAGTACACCGAAAATTTGTGAAATTACAGTACCCGATAGTCCAAGCCATGTGCGGTTTGTTGTGTGCCTCTGTTTATTTTCCTACAGGGTATAATGCCATTGTGTCTGAACAAGGTTGAAAACCCCGTGCTGAAGAAGCTGGTCAACGATTGCTTGAAGTCCGAGAAGAATGGCAGGTACGAGATCGTCAATGGTACCCAAGATATGGACACTCCCTGGAAAGCCTGTCACTTTAACTTCCACTGGGTCATACAGAAAAAAACAACGAATCCCCTGTAGAATAGAACCATGTGTAGAATTGCAGATTGAAGCTGTACGACTGATGAACTAGTCAATCAGTTTATTCTCGGCTCACTGGGCTCCACTCTTGAAATAGTCACTTCAGCTGCAAAACGCAAGCTGTAGACCACACATGCTAGACATGCTGTGTGTTCCTGCAGCGCACAACAAAATGTTAGCACAGTGCTGCCCATGATGAAATGCGTTCACACGAGTCAATTTGCGGCGGGCATTGTGTAGGCACAAACCAGTGGAACACTAGTATTGGGCTGCGCTTTATACACATACCTACATACCTCGTATAGCAGAAACATGCACGTTTCTGGAGACAAATGCATACAACTTATAGTTTCTCCGCCCAACTTCCTGGTAGTTGCATTCGGATGTAGAAAGCACATGCCTTTTCTGGAATTGGGAATATTTTATTCCTCGTATTGGTGTTCCTTGCCTGTATGTATACTGGTGATGTTGCTCTGTAAACGTGTCTTCCCTTTTTTTCTTTTTAGATTGACTATCTTTCAGCTGCTCCGCCATGATTTCTTCAATGATGAGGTCCCAACGCCTGTGGTTCGCTGCAACACTAGCTTGAAGGATGAAGGAGTGTTGGGATTTCACATGGAATTGAAGGATGAGAAGTCTGAGGAAACGACGCTCATTGATTTCTCTTTCAATTTAGAGAATGACGCACCTGAGACTGTGGCCAAAGACATGGTGAGGATGGTGGGTTAGTTTTGTGTATGGAGGGGGGGGGGGGCATTCTCTTTATCAGTTAATGGTGTGAGTGGTCCAGGCTGTAGGCTTTTGCCTACTGTTGCTTCTGGATGTGAAGGTTATCCAAGACTTATAGTCCAAAGTTATGGACTTCCTGTATGACAAGAGCAGCAACATAGCCAGCAATCGCATGTCATCACGTACATTGAAAATCAACATAATTTTGCGAATCGACCTTTTTTTCAGGATCACTTTTCAACGGGGACGAAGCAAAGTCGGCCGAACGAAGCCTAGAGGAAGAAAATCACCCTCTCCACTTCACCATCATGATACTGACATAGATACGAGATGAAACAACTAAAAAATCCACAAGAAAACTGTACTGCCATCATCGCGCTGACTTTGGTCTGAGAATTTCTATCACGATCAAAAATGTACGAGGAGCACTCAAAAATAAGCCACAGACGTACCTTTATCGCTCTCTACTCCTTTTTCAAGGCACAAAAGTCGACTCTCCACTTTCAAACCAGGAACCAGACATACCAGTGGTCCTTTTCAGCTGCTCCACGAGCGCAGGAAATGTTCACCAAGGGGCGCAGAGCAGCATCCATTCCAGAAAAAGAGCTAAAATACGAGTGAGACTGCATGCCTGAGTACATGAGTACATGTATGAGTACATGCAGAAAATAGTCAATTTCAGCGTTTCTGCTCCAAACAGCAACTAGCTTCGACTAGAAACAAAGATGACAACAAAGGATCAAACAACAACCATTTTCTGCAGTTTTTTTGCAGATGGCTTCCTTGTGCTTGGCCCAGCACGCCAAAAATCACACCTCGGAGGAGTACAAAAATTACAACTCTCAGATGTCCTCGATTGCTGGCCATGGGTAAACTCTTGCCTGAAATTCCTGTTTGCTTTGCTTGGCAGATTCATAACCAACCAGAGTACCTTCGTCCCGAGCACTCCAAGCCAATTGCAAAGGTAATCCGTCAGGAGCTGCGTAAAGTCAAGGAGCAGAAAGGACAGGATCCCAGTTCTGCCATGGCACATGGCACTATGGTGTCTCAACCATCTTCTGAGAACCTTGCGCTCGCAGCCACCACAGTATCGTCAGGTAGCTCAATAGCTACAGCCTCAGCAGCCGGAACGAACCTTGTCACATCCACTTTGTCAGCTGGAGACGTATTGGCTCAACCAGGAAGTGATACCCAGGTATGAGAAAAAAGCACTCATTGTGAACAGTGTCGACGTTTGTTCGTTTCCCCCCTTTTTTGTATTGCTGTTGTTGCTTTGGTTACTTTAGTTGTGATATTTGAACATGTTGATTCTGCTGCTGCAATCTATGTATAAACATGTTGATTCTGCTGCAATCTATGTATGAATGTATAGTACTCGGATACGGCGTGTAGTGTGACGTTGGTGTGCCCTTTGATTCTTAAATCCGTTCAGCCTCTTGGTGCCGACCAGATGTTCTCACAGCACTGGACTAATGGACTGCATTGTATATGTTGTGATTCTGCCAGCCTTCACCTCAACAAGCAAGCAAGCTCCAGGCAGAGAAGGCAGTAATCAGCGCGAAGCAGGAGGCTGGCCAGGAGAAAGATGTCCCACGGTCTCCAGAGCCTGTGCCAGCGAGCACTGGCCCCGCGTCCCAGCCGCAGCCTAGTGCGGGAGACACGGCTACCACTGCTGCCCCTGTTGGCACTAATGGCAAGCCGAGTGGCACTGGCTCTGCCAGACCCGCTTCAGTGCCAGTCAAGACCCAGGCCCAGGCCACCAGCGCAGCAATCACCGATGTCCCCACATCCACGACTCACGCAGCGCCGGGAGTGGCATCAAGCACAGCGTCGCTGAATCGGTCATCAACCTTGTCCACGCTGGAGGCCAGTCAGACGGCTGTAAATGTAACGGCAGCTGCGTCCATTCCAAGGTCATCGTCCATATCATCGGTGGGCGCTGGTGGACAGGGTGCAGGCGGAAAGCCCCGTGCCAAGAAGGGTGTGAAAGAGGTGCGGCCCATGAAGTTGATATGGCAACGTCTTCACGATGGCATTCTGCACTGCAGCCTGTCGAATCGCGGGAACCAAGTAGACTTCCAGTTCAGTCTCACGGATGACAAGCCAGATGACATTGCCAAGAGTATGGTAAGTTTGCGGAATTGGATGGTGTTTTTGCTAACCAGGTCGCTAACCATGTTACTTATGTCTTTACTGAAAATATCCTTCAGACCTTCATTGGGAATTGTGTGCAAAGTTTCCCTGGGAAACCTAACTTATCCAGCTTTGTTGCCAGTGTTCAGAACTGATTCATCAACCCCCATGCATTACATGCATTACATGCATAATAGCTTAGATTCACTATCACTATGGTCACTGTCACCATGGTCACTGTCACCATGCATGACATGTGGACATGACAATGCCCTTAGTTTCTAGTTCTGTCCTACTGAGCGTCGTATGACACTCCGAGGACTGGATTCATGCGCGTCGGCGCGCTGTTAGTGCGCTGCCAGTGCGCTGCCGGCGCCCTTTTTGGGTTGTCTTCGCATGCGGAAGACCTGTTGCTTTGAGTTGTTCTTGTGGACAGAAGAAGTTTACCAGAAAAGCCGTCCGTCGTTGTGACTGTCACATGAGCGTGAACAGCCCTTGTTGTTCTGTGTATTACGCTCTGCCTCCGCCATGGTGTTGAGCATTATCAACACACTGGATACGTCCTCCGGTATGATGAGTGTTCCTGTGTAAATTGTACATTGCCTTTGTGCAGGTTGACAGTCAGCTAATTGTGGCTAGTACTGTTGGAAAGCTGTCCAAGCTACTTCAGGGTGTCATCAAGGAAATTGTAGCATCACATCCCAAGGTGGCCAGTGGAGAGCAAACGGTAGGGTTTCTGGTTTTTGTCCCAGTTCAGTTGATGTGTCGAGTCAATAAGGGTGGATGCTTGGATGCTGCTTCTTTCACCTGTAGTAAGATATAACAATGCAAGTAGACCCTTTGGTTGGAGAAATCAATATTCAATCAGTCTTGAATCTGTCTATGTGTTTGTGTTCTACAGGAAACCATCATTAATCCACAAGCTGATCAGAACTATCCAACAGATACTGATTTGGGTATTTCCCCTGAACAGCAGCCGCAGCAGCGGAAGACTAGCGAGCCCAATACGGATGTGTGTCTGCCGGAAGCGGCGGCAAACACTACAGTAGCAGCATCAGCACCAGTTGTAGCACCTGCAGCATCATGCACCATCGCGCCGTCAGCAACCAGTGCTGCGAGCACAGCAATAGCAACGAACAACAATGGAACAGCGGTGGCACCTAGTGTGGCTGCTGCCGTGTGCCAGTCAGACAACTGCAGCAGCACGGTACCGCCATTCACACGCTCTATATCAGGCGTATCCATGAACAGCGGCAGCACGTCATCCTATGCAGCTGCTGTGTCGAGCGGGTACAACACGGCATCCATGTCGTCATCATCGGGTGCTACTGCAGCGTCCACGCTGACCACTGCCAGTGTAACATCAAGCGGTGAGATTCAGGCCGGCACTGCCGATGATGTCACTGGTGAATTTGAACAAGTGAGAAACAGTTCATCTTCCGCCCTAGCAACCAGCGGCAGTGACGACAACTTCAAACAGCAACGCTCGAAGTTCACAGTGGAAGATGTTTTCGAGGACGGGAGCAGTCCCGAACCCATGGTCCCTGGAAAGCAGGAAGCCAATGTGGCCCAATCTTCTGCCCAGACCGTGACGCGACCTGCCGCATCTCAAACCAATTCACCTGTTGCAGAGCGCGCACAAAAGAAAGCCCATGTGATTGCTGAGACTGGGCAGCAGGCCAGTACATCGGGCGAGGCGTCGCAGCGGTCCAGTTGCCGTTCATCACCTGTATCCTCCACTGACCAGGTACTACAAGCAAAACGGGATTCTGCATCATCGACGCCTC